TATTAATTTAAAAGTTATAGCATGAAAACTATAACAAGCACAAAATAGTTATGAGGTCAGTCCCAGGGACCAAGCCCGTGCTGAAAGAGTTAACAATATTAAGTTATCCTATTTATGTAAATTAGAGTAATACATTAAAAACAAACCATAAACACTTCAAAACCTTAACTACACTCTTGGTTGACTATTCATAAACAAGGATAAGTTACAGAAACCAAATTACATGAGGATTAATACAAACTTTCTAAATACTATCTAATTTTGGCTGTGAAATTTAAAATTTTTCTTATGAGGCAATATTTAAAAAAAACCATTAAAATACTTTTTCATCTTAGGATTTCAATATTACTATTGATCAGAAAGTCAGTTAAAACTTTAATGATATTAAATAACACATTTCTTTGATACTTTATTTTGCTAATTGACACAATGTAAAAACAGAAAAAAAGAAAGAGTTATTAGTAAATAGAACCCCCATGTTTTAAAATGGCATCACTCTTAACTTCATCAATCTAAGTATCATGACTTTTGCCAAGAATAATCTTAATCAGTCTTTGTCTAGGGTCAATCTATATCTAATAAATAGTTTGTAATCAACAGTAAGTTCTTTGCTTTTTTGGATGTGGTTTTAACCCTTACGATATATCTGCTTTGACATTTATAACCATTTGATGTGATAAGCAGATCACCTTACAGCTTCACAAGACTAGAAAGGATCAAATTCATAACTTCTTTGTTTGATGGATAATTAGCACTTTTTTGGAACCAGCCTGATATGTTTTATGCATCAAAAGGGTTAATATGATAAACTTAATATTCAATGAAAAAGTATCTGTGTCATCCGAATAGTTTGCTCATGCTTATCATAAATTGCTAAAACTAACTAAACTTACCTAATGTCTTGTCACAGAAACTTTATGCAGCCTTTAAACAAATGTTTTAACACAAAAACATTTTCAGAATTGAAAAGAATTTAAAAAAATCTCAGATCTGTGGTTTAAGTATTGTAAACTTTGCAGTAAAATCCCTTGTTTACCTTTTACTGGGTTTCCAGGTAGGCAACATACAAACAAAATCACAGATTATTAATAAAACTTTATACTGAGATAGATTGATTAGAATTCATAGCTGTTGGTTCTAGCTATTTTCAAAGTTAAACTTCATTAGCAATTGTTCAGATCATGTGTTGTAACATCATAAAAGAGTGGCAAAAAAGGGCTGTAGTAATAAAACCACTACCAGAGAAAGAATATCACATTAAATACCAAACATGAATCATTATATTTTCAACAGAAGACAGATTCTTGGCAAATGCAAACCTACATTGTGGGACAGGCAGAAGATTTCTATAACTGTTTATAGATGAGACTCCATGGAGCTGTGCAAAAATTAAAACTAGAACATTTTGTGATTTGCATTAAATAAATAATAATACTAAAATATTTCTGACAACATATGTTGAAATAGTTAAGAATTAGATTTCTTATTTGAATTTTGAAATCTGATTGCAGGTATTCAACACCTAACAGGGTTACACTAGACTGGATAGTTAGTAAGGCATGTTTTTAAATAGCTGTGAAAAATTAAATTTGTAACTAGGGTGAAAATTTGTACCTGTCATAGAGAGAATAAATTAGGTAATACTAGATCATGAAATCTTTAAAAAACTTAATCTCTATTACTGAAATATACATATTTTTAGGTAAACAAACTTATTTAACATTGTTCAAATCATAATTAGAGACTGAATTAAGTTTATACTGGCACTTTGTACTATCACTGCAACACACAATGGCAGTGTTAAGATAAATGATATTTGGAGCTTGACTGAAATTTCATTTTATCTAAATAGGTTGCATAATATTAATTCCATTCTTAAATGTTATTTATGCAACACAGTGACAGTGTTAAAACAAAAAATAGAGCTATTATGTTATAATGAATGCTTTTCTTTCTCCATATCAATCCAATTTATTGTGTGTCTTAGTACACTGCCTTAATGATGCAGCTGTTTTCAAATAATGTAGAAATACCAATTTTTTTTTTCTTCTAAAGTTTAATCTCATGAATAAAGGAGTTCATAACTTGCCTACTGGAGCCTCGTCTGCTCCACTAATTTCATCTGTGTTTTCTTCAGGTGATTCTCCATTACCCTTCTCTGGTGGAGGATCTGTAAATAAACCAAGTTTACTTCCAACTTTCCACACTTTTACATTTGTGTTATGTTGAAAAAAAACCCAAACAATTCATACAAATTTATGCCTCTGCTATGTCCTATTATAAGCAGATTACTTTATTTAATATTTTTACGAACATTTTAATTTTCTCATTTACATGCAAGAAAAATAATTAATATTAATCATATGAAGGATTGCAACAAATAACCAAGGTTTCACGGCCTTCTACAATTATCTGTATTCAAATGCTTTGGATTATTCTGTATTTTGTTCTTTTTATTCACTTAATACAATTATTTCATATAGTGATGAGTATTACAACATCCTAGTCCTTTTCAATAGCATATTAAGTTTAACCTTCTGGTCAAACTATAATTAAATCAGAACATTCATGAATATGATTTGGCTTTATTCTACTTTCTTTATAACTTGTGTTCTGAAATGAAAACTATAAGTTATTTTCATTTGGGAATTTATTAAACTCCAATCATTTGGAGTTTTCATAGAAATTATTTATATTGTAAGATAGATATGGAAAGTATAGAACTGAATAAGTCTTCCTATATAAATAGCTCTCACTTTATTTGGTTACTGGCAAGTTTTATACAAATTTAATTTTTGTCTGTCATGCTGGTTTTCTGATAGCTATTAGGTTGGTCACAATTTATCTTTACATAACAATATTTAGGTGCAGATTAAATATGTTGACACACAAATCCTACAGCATGATACACATATAAATTGTTTGGGGCTTAATAAATCCCATTTCTCATAATCTACAGAAACTAGATGTTTGCTGCACAAGGGGAGAAAACCAACTATATTGATTACATAACAGTCATTTTTTTATTTTAAATTAAATGGAAAGTTACATTGTTTACAAATGTTTTTAAGTTAGAAAATCTTGTAGAAAAATTGAAATTAATTTTGTTTTTTTTTTTGGAGGTTTTATTGCTATCCACTCTGAGAAGAATATTGCAGCTGCTGTTGTCCACAAATCTTCAGTTATGCCTACTGGGTGAAGTGAGAAAGTTAAAAGTGATAAATAAGTTAATTTCAATTAACATTTCTGCATGAATCATGCTTTTTGTTGCAAATACAGAAATTATAAATAATTTCTCAGTTTTATAACAGCTTAGGGTGTATATATATTGATTATTTATTACATGCTACAAGTGTAACCAGTGTTATCTTACTTAATGGATGCTCACAACAAAAGGCAAAAATTGGGAGAGGGGTACTTAAGCCATCCTCTTAGCAATAAACTTTTAAATTTTATGAAAAATAACGTATGCAAGGAAAAGTAATTTTAATTGCTGAATATTTACTTATCTTTAATATGAAATATTTTAAAACAATGAGAAATACATTTGTTTTGTTATTCACACATTAATGATTATAATATATATGGAAGACAGTTTTTGTTTGCATCTTTCAACTGTGAGTATTCTTTGGCACATAAATCCAACCTATGCATGTAAAGTAATACTGACATAAGAAATGACTTCTTGTTTTGCATATTGCTATACCCATACCTAGGGCTTAATTTTGAGTAAATGATTATTTATGTATTTTATATTAATTGCCAGATACTATTTAATGAAGGAAAATCTTTTCATTTTCTTGTCAAAAATGCAAAGGCTCTCTAAGAGTAATTATTAAAAAATATTTCTCAATACTATTACAATCTAACATGAGGTGTACTCCATGTAACTATACAAGTTTTTAATAGAGCATTTAAATGTCTAGCTAAACGTTGTTTTCATTATCAAGTCCTAATCCAATCCCCAAAAACACACTAGAATTATGGTACATGAAAGTGTTTCCCTGATAATCTTCTGATTTAAAATTATCGTCTATTTCATAGAAGACTAGGTATAACAACTTTCCACCTAGCATGTCCTTTTGAGAGAAAACAACAACATACATTTGGCAAAGTGAAGCTTTATATAATGCAGTATCTTAGGTTTTATAGGCTAAAAAAAGTTTATTACTTATTAATATAACTAAGAACTAAGATATACTGAGCAGCTGATTAATTAAAAAAATTACCAGATCTTTCAAAATTTGCAATTTGTCATATATGATCAATGTTTACAACAACTTTTAGTCATAAATTAACATACAAAAATCAAAAATAGATATATTGAAAATATTTTCATAAAGTGAGGAAATGCAATTAACATAATAGTATAACAAATGTGTTTCATTTTTATTAAGATAATTTATGCATGCTTCAAATTTTGTAAAATTTGCTCTACTCTGCAGCATCACGTGTATGCTCTACATAAGAGTTCAAATAATAATTTTAAGTATGTTGGAAAAGACAAAGGGTATCATTAAACTGGTTCCAACAATGCAGATAAAGGACATTATCATTTAGACATTTGTAACCAGGCCAAAATGATATGATCTAATTTTTTCCTATACTTTAGACTTGTATGAATTAAACATCTGGTAGTTATATCTCATGACAAAAATTAAACAGAAAACAATGAAAAAAAAGAAAGAATGGCAATTCTTAATATTTGTCTCTAAATATTTTTAGTTGTGATTTCTATAAGATGTTTGACATACCATGGTTAGATGGTACACAACATGTCTATCATTCTGTATATAAATGCTAAATGATAAACAACCCACTTCACACATGTGTATTCAAAAGCTGGGTTACATTTCATTTTAGAGCTTATAACTACTGGCCTTGTATAATTTTGTGCCACACTAATAGAATTTCACATTTTGGGATTAATTGACTACTCTAGAAGTTAGCCATTGTAAATTGTATTCTTTGTTTCTTTTAACACAAAGCTATTGAACAGGTTATTTGTACCCTGTCCAGCAAAACTCATCAATAAAAGGAAAGAACAGACCTCCTTATACTCACACATCATAAAATAGGAACAAAACTGATAAAATGGATTACTTAACAACTCATTTCATAATTCAAATTACTTAAGAGATTATGAGTCTCATGCTCTACTGGCTAAGCTAGTTAGGTTGGTGACAGATTATGTGTGTAAATCATAAATTTCTTATTTAATACAATGGTATTGGGCAAAAAGCTACTCTTATTTGGTGCCTGGCCACTGACCAGATAATCACTATAATTAAATACAAAGTCATGAGATTATAACAGTATAAGCTATCTGAATTGAATGTCCAAATGATAAAAGAACCTCAGTCTAACTGTTTGACCAAAAATACATGCCCTAAAATTTAGATGCAAATCCTCAAAACGTGTTCTGTGATCATTGAATCATAGTGATTGTGAATTTGGTAGTGTCAGTACTTTAAATTTTAATAATAAGTATTAACAGTATCTTAATAATAAAATAACGCACAATTATATGGAGAACTAGGCTCGTATTATACAACATTATAAGAATAATTATCCACCAAACAAGTGGAAAAAAACTGTCAATTTTTCGACATTCACTGCAAGCTTTTATGATTATTATTCGTTACCCGGAGCCAGCTGGCCCTCGTCACCTTCTTCCAGTTGAGCTTTTGCCGCAGCGAGAATTGCGAAAGATGGCACAAATGGCGGAGCATCCACGTTCAGGCTTGACAGAGATGTCTCTAAACCATCGTCACTGCCACCTCTGTCATTTTCCACTATATCTTGCTCCCATGAATCTGGAGCTATTTGTCCTTCTGGAGTTTTCTCCATTACAAAATATGTTTTTGAATTTAGATACTTAAATAAGCAAATTTAATTCTACGTCTAACAGTAGAACACACTTACATTTACAACATACAAATCCGCGTGTCCAACTATCTGTAGACAATGCGCATGACCACCACTGTGTAGATAATTGTGAAAAGTGTTCGATTTTTCAAACTATGGAAAACAAAAATTCTACACATATTCTCCCATCAAATTAAAATATAAAATGTGAAGATTTAAATTGAGGAAAATCAATTACGTAAATATAGATTTGAGCAAACGTTAGTAATAGTAACTATATCTTGTGATATCACATATTTAGATCTTTTCAGCGCACACAACCAAAATATTGTTTATGAGCAGTTAAATTCGACGAACAAATTTAATAGTTATAATGATTCTAATAGTATAACAAATCCAATATTTAGGATTTATTAGTATCAAAAGATTTAAATTCACCAAGAAAGATTGTTATATTGTGTTGAGAGGTATGACACTCCAGTCTCTATGCTTTGAGAGCCTTATCACAGAGAATGAAACAGCGCAGAGGCGTCTACTGGAATTTAGATATATTTTCTTTACATTACAGTAACTATTGTTATGTGAATTATTCCTGCTCACTTGGCTATGAATTATTACCATTTTTAGGCCATAAGTTATTTAGCACTTCATTTCTGTTCTTGCGATCAGCCTAACGTGATAATGCCTAACAGATCAACGTGACGGGTTCCAAAATTAGTTACAGTTAAAAAATCAAATATGGTTTATAACAGATAAAACTAAGCTAATTCTTAATAAAATTATTCTAGTTAATTTGTTGATTATAAGAATAGATTTTTAGATTCTCACTGTCATTTAAAAGTGTACATGAACATCGAATAAAATGTGCGTATTTTTTACGTAGTGTTACGACAGCGGAGGTCACGTGACCTAGTAACACGCCATGCGCTTCTCGAACGTTCACGTCCCTTCCTGAAGAACTATTGGGCACAATGGGATCAGTTGAAGCTTGAAGATGGTATTCTTGTCCGGAGATGGGAAACTGCAGATGGGAAAGTGACGACCTGGCAAATGGTTACACCGAGAAAGTTACGGGAAGTTGTGCTGCGTCAATCCCATGATACTTTAACAGGAGGACATCTCGGAGTTAAGAAAACATTGAGTCACCTACGACAGAGATTTTACTAGATAGGTATGAGGCAAGATGTGGCAGAATGGTGCAGAACATGCGGTACATGTTGTTCTAAAAGGGGACCAAAGCATAAGGGACGTGCTCCAATGAAGTTATCTCAAGTTTTCGCACCAATGGAAAGAGTAGCCATTGACATTGCTAGTCCTCTGCCCCAAACTCGTGTTGGAAACAAGTACATTTGT